GATGGTCATCTTCTGATGTAAGTCATAGATGGTTTTCAATTCTGTCGTTACTGTTTCTTTTCAAAATTCCTTTTAATGGATCACATTTACATTTACATTTTTATTTTGTCTGGGAGGTTGAGTTGCACGTACCATGGTGCACAGAGGAAGTCAGAGGACAACTTTAGTAGTCATGTGGGCCCTGCAGTTTGGTGACTCAGGGCATCAGGTTTGACAGCAAGTACCTTTCACCAGAGGCCCTGGGGCAGAACTCAAGTCCCTGGGATAGCAGTGAGCACTTTTTACCTTCTAAGCTGTCTCTCCATATGTTCTTCAGCTGATACGTACGCCTCATGTTATGTGTGACACTTGTGATTAGTATGCTTTTGTTTTAAAAAAAAACATGGAGAACCAATCAAAAATTAATAACTACTCCCATCAGTTACTTGGAATGTATAAGCTCAGTATCTAGGGCTCTGGTAACAAACTACAGAAAGTGAGAAACTAAACATGATAACTTATTATTTAATAATGCTGATGGACAGCAGTCCAGTATCCAGGTGGTGATGATGGAGATTCCCTCTGGGCCATTCTTGCCCTCCCGGCATCTAGTGGTTGCTGGTACCTCTGTGTATTCCTTGACTCCATCCCTCCTGTGATTCTGTGTTCATTTCAGCACAGATGTTTTTGTACACCCCTACTTGCATTTCCTGAAATGTGAGATGTTCTTACCTGGAGAACTTCTGTTTAATCACATCCACAAAGACTCAGTTTGCAAATAAGGTTGTAGTTATGGGCTCAGGATGCTTGCACTTTGGAATGACCTGTTGGAATCATGGTGCAGTCCAGTAGATTTTAGGTAATTCATTGCTGATGGATATTTGAAAAGTTTGTTGCACTTTTAACTTATTTGAGGGAGTCAATTCAATGAAGAAGCCTCATGGTTTTTGTCTAAACATTCATGGCTATACACAAAAAAGCTGATTACTATTTACTTAACCCCAAGTTGTCCCAGCATGGTAGCCCCATTGTACTTGTAGCACTGAGTAGATTATGTTTGGCTTACTTGTATTATTATGTATTTTATTATTATTATTATTATTATTAATCTGTTTAATGTCTAAACCACAGGAAGCCACACAGTGTTAAGTTAGTGTATGCATGAATTTAACATTTAACATTATGCCTTCTTGTCTCCTAGTTTTTAAAAGCTAAAACATTCTCAGAATTAAAATTAAAAACATAGCAATGGGATTATTTGCTGTGTAATCATTTTATTATTTTACTAAGGGCAAGGAAAAAAAGAAACCTCTGGAATTTCCCTCTAGGCCAAGAAAGCAAGCACCATATTGAGCAATGTATGCTAATGCTTTCTTTTTCCTCAACAGAATGTATACATATGTATTCCATTATTGTTTATATATATGTATGTCTATGAATTTAAACATTTATATATATTATATATAATTTGATATATATTGTGGGAATTTATCAGATTTTCTTTGAAAAACTGTAAAATGGATAATTGTGAGCTCTGTTGCAGTTGCAAGGGTCATAAAGACAGTGAATATTACCTGGGGTAGGAAAACATCACAGACACCTTACAAACCTCTACTGTGCTACACACTCACAAATAGACCATATATGTAATCAATGGCAGTCATTCACAGATTCTTCATACTATTTCACCAACTCACCTTGTTCTCTTGACTTTAGCAGTGTCTAATGAGGAAATATTTTCCTTCTTCAGACTGTGAACTGCAGACCCCGGAGCCTTGAGGATCCTTTGGGTATCAACTCTGGGAAGAAAATGACAATATCAAAGTCTGAGGTTCTCAAAAGAGGCACAATCCAGGTAAACTAAGTTCTGTTATTTTTTTCTTTATGCTTTCTAAGTGCAACACATCTCATGTCAGCTTAGAAATAAATATCTGAAGCATCTTAATATAGAGCCTGTGATCAGACCGCAAGCACAGTGACATGTGTCTCTGACCATCCAACAGGACTGCAGTACCTGTAAAATTGCCACCATCACGTGTAATCTCCTTCCTTCTGACGTGAGTCAAGTGAATGTTTCACTCATCTTGTGGAAACCAACTTTCATAAAAGTAAGTGGTTGCATCAAGTCAGCTGGTGTTAGTACACCATTCAGTAGCTGGGCAAATCACAGCATTGCTGTGGAAAGAACAGGAGGCTGGGAGTCTCTGAGCATGTGACCTAAGACCAGCTCTCCTTTACCAGCTGGGTGGGGCTCATCTTCCTGATCTGTCAATCACAGAGTTTCCACTTGTTCCCTGTGGGATGCAGAGTTGTTGGGCTCTCTCATCCTTAAGCCTTGCACTGTGGGAAATATTTCTCCATTACTTAACTTTGTGTTTATCTTAATAGTTTGGGACCTGGTTAAGGTCCAAAGGATGATAGAATGACATTCTTTGGTGTGATTATCAAAATAGTGAACTCAAATACATTATAGAGTGGTGATTTATTTTTGGATATTCTATACAAGTATTTCCTATATCCCTTACAACGCCACATCCATTTAAAATGCAGGCCATTTTAAAACACAGTCTGTTATATTTTGTAATTTTTTCTTCGTTTCTTTAAAGAAATATTTAGTTGATCACATGGTCATGAGAATCTTAGGTCTGTCCCTATTAAGATGATAATGTAAGTCACCAAGGTTTAATACTGTTTCATGCACAATTCTTAATAAGTACCTGTGTGTAGCCCTCATTATTGAAATGTAGCCATCGCATACCTAGATGCATGAGAAGTAAGTCCAAAGCTCGTTTTTCTAGAGAAAAATCTAAGTAGAAATTATTTTGAAGTTTTTAATCTCACTCTATAAGAAAGATGTAAGGGACATTTTGGTTGGGGCAGGGGGGAAATGAAGAAAGAGGTGTTCGCAGTCACCATCATATTAATCTCACAGAACAATCTCAGTTTCCTTCTATTTTCTTTTTCAAATATTTCACACATGTACACATGTATGTTGATGCTATCTACACCTCACTCCCCCTTCAAGCCCCCCAGGGCTACCCCCGACATCATGTCTTCCTTTTATAACTTTTTATTTATTAACCCACCAAATCCAATTAGTGGCACCCATATGCATGATGTGAGGTCATCCACTGAGACATGGGGAGTCCACCAGTAGCCACACGCATACCCGCACTAACTAGACTTATCAGACTGTTTTATATTTACTCATATGAAACAAAAGAGATAATGAATTTGAAAGGGAGCAGGGGCTTATGGGAAGGGCTGGAAAGGGGATGGAGGAGGAATGATAGAACTATATTTTTATTTAAAAATATTTTTTAAATTGAAAGAAAAGTGCTTTTTCCTCCTCCTCCTCCGGCAGCAGTCAAAAGTTCTTTTTTTGTTGTTGTTATTTATTTATTTTATATATATGAATACACTGTCGCTGTCTTCAGACACACCAGAAGATGGCACTGGATCCCATTACAGATGGTTGTGAGCCACCATGTGGTTTCTGGGAATTGAACTCAGGACCTCTGCAAGAATAGTTAGTGCTCTTAACCACTGAGCCATCTCTCCAGCCCCTGTCAAAAGTTCGTTAGCTCTGTGAGACCTTGGGAGCCTCTCTCCCCAATCCGTACTGGAATTTTTTGGCCGGAGCTTACATGGGTGACTGCAGAAGGTGTGGTAACTGTACTGCTCAGACATGCCCACCCATCAGCTTGATTAGCATGGTACATTAACAATGAATCCCTCCTGCCTTTCAGGCACATTTTTCCAGCTTAAATCTTACGATACGGGGAGAACTTCAGAGTGAAAACTCATCGCTGACTTTAAGCAGCAGCAACCGGAAACGGGAGGTGAGTGCGGCTGCGCGTCTGAAAACATTACGCATTCAACTGCAAACTTGTCCGTGGTGTTCTCGCACCTGGAAACGAGGAGTACACGCAGATGTTCGTATGAAAATAATATGAATTTCCCCGAAAACTTGTCCATGGTGTTTTATGATCCTATACAGGGGTGTACGCAGAGACTGAACTGATGCCCATGTCAAATACTGATTTGATTTCCATTGGCTTCTAATGTGATTATAGGCTTTGTCTTATTCCTTAGAAGCTAGGAAAGACATGACGTTTATTACTCATGGGCCATGGTTTACTTTATCGTTTCCTCCTTAGGAGCTATTATAAAATCTGTTTACAGAAAATGCCTGTATACCCCGTGTGTGTTCTCTCTCTCCCTCTCCCTCTCCCACTCCCTCTCCCTCTCCCTCTCCCTCTCCCTCTCCCTCTCCCTCTCGCTCTCTCTCTCTTTCTCTGTGTATTTAAACATATATGTATATATTTAGAGCTATATATGTGTACACACACACACACCACACAAACATACACACACAAAATTTGTTTTAAAATTCTTTCACTTAGTCATTGGGAAATCCGAAACAAAGATGAGGTCATCCATCATGAGTCCTTGGTAAAAGTACAAGTATTTTACTCATGACTTTTTAGAGAATAAATCCAAAGGACTTATTTTAGACAAAAGCATGATTTCCTCATCATATCCTGGGAACATTTAGAAATCCCATCTGGGCAAGCTGTACCATGTAAGTTGTAAAACTCTGTTTCAAAGTGCTCTACTTTTTCATCATAGTAAATTTGATATTATTGGACATTTCGAGTAAATGAAAGGCAGTCTCAAATGTAAACCAAATGTTTTCATCTGTATACAGTAATGAGATTAATTACACTGTTTGGTAGAAAAATCAAGCCTACCGGAACTCGGTGTACCGGGAGTTCTGATGGGTGTTTATCAGTGTTAACAACCGTGTTTAATAATTTTCAGCTGGCTATTCAGATATCCAAAGATGGGCTCCCAGGCAGAGTGCCGCTGTGGGTAATCCTCCTGAGCGCCTTTGCGGGACTGCTGCTGCTGATGCTGCTTATATTAGCTCTGTGGAAGGTAAGCAAGAGACAACGGGAAAATAAGTTATGAGTTATTGGTGCTTTAGTACATAATAAAGTGAAAACTTTCATGTGAGAAGAGAGACTGTTTTTAAAATGATCTTTCATGCATTGAGTACTACAGGTCTCTTTTTCACAAAGGAAAATATGTATGCCTCAATTGGGGATACATACATCCAAAACCCCCAGGCGTCCTCTTTACAGGTGAAGATTATTGAGAGTCGTTTAACATTTACCTAAGGTGTTAATAAGGATATTTATTGCTTTTTAAAGTAAGGGAAACAAAACCCTTGTTTTAAGACTGAAGTAGATTGAAGTCCTAATTCAATGAAGAACATACCAGGAACAGGTTCATAGTTGAGATGAACCCTATTTTAGCCACTTTATGTGTCTTAAAGATAAAATGCTCCTTTGGTGTATAAACAGAGAAAAAACACATTTTCTTCAATAATTGTGTGGCTATATAAGGAACAAGTAATATAAGAGTAAACTGGCATAATGGAGAGTATAAAGTTCAGAGAACTCCTATACCAAATCCTTTGGAAAGACCAGGTGGTAATCTGTTTTCTCTCAAGTTAATTTAGATATTTACTGAGATGGTTTAAGGTGAGAGATGTAAGAACATATTCTTTTCAAACAAGCTATGATGAAAGCTTTTATGATGAATTTACCAGAAAACAAAATAACAGAGAAAAGTTGAATTCAATATTTGTTCAATTAAATATGGAATTAGAATTCTTTCTTGCATTAGCATATCCTATATTTTACCTACTGCTTCATTAAATAAAGCAGGTAAAATAAAAGAAAATTGACTACATACTCATTTTTAAATGTAAGAACAGAATTATTTTTATATAGCAAGATTTTTCTTGCTGAACTACAACTATTACCATCTTTTCTGACTTTTCTGTGACAAACTTCCTCTTTGGGGGATTTCCTCCAAAGGGAATATGCCCAAGTAGCTTTGAATTCTTAGAACCTATGATCCTTCCTCAGCAAAGTCCCAAGATATAGTTCACATTCAGCATCCTTTCTTCCTCTCAAGGTCCCAGCTGCCAGTGCCCTCTCTTTGCAGTACCTGGCTTTGCCACACTGTGGTACCCAAGGCCTGGTTTATCCGTTGCTTCTAGATAGTGTGAGCTCTTCCTGAGCTCCTATGGTGTTAGGAAAGACAAGGACAGCCAGGGCTGATATTAGGATGGGTTCTTCTGACTTTAGACCTCTGTTTAAGATAAACAAACAAAAGGGAATTTTCATCCACCTGTTCTTAATTCCTTAGTCTGAAAAAGCCCAAAAGATAAAAATAAAAGCATTTTCAGAAAGTGTTGTGTTGATACATACTCACAGCTTCTAAGATTGTCTTTGCCACCCACAAAACAAACTTTGGGCTGTCTTGAGGATGTTTAGTTAGTTCAAACACCTTCCTGAAAGACTGCACAATCACAATTCTGACTCTAAGGTAGACAGAAGGAGCTAGCTCTTCGTAGATGCTTACTGTGTCCCAGGAACTCTGTCAAGCACCCTGCTTTGAAGCGTCCTCGCTGTTATGACCCTCACTGTAGAAGTTAGGTCTTGTTCTTCCTCCATGCTCACAGAAATAAGACAGAGTCAAATATATTAATAATATCTGACTAGATCATAATTTACAATAACCCGTTTATTTTAACTTACACTTTGTCACGTGGCTGATTACCTGTGCTCAGGTACCACGCATCAGCTCCTCACATCTTTTCTGGGGCAAATCTCCCACCTAGCACTATATCCCAGAATTCTTTCTGCCTCCCGAATGTCCCACCTTCTATTCTACCCTTTCCTATAGGAAAGTTTTTTTAATTGACAGGTTGCCACATCCATACAGACACAAGATATTCTCTACCCCACCCCACCCCCAGTCTCTAAATGAGGAAATGAAGTTACAGACAATGCTTATGTGTTTTTCAGGGCCACACAGACTGTAATATTCTGAATAAGATATTGAATGGATATTAACAGATTCCATTCTGTGGTCCTTACAACTTTTGAAACAATACGTTATAACTGCATTTTATACCTGTAAATGTTAAAGCAAAGGTAAAGTGGCTTAGTGAACCCCCAAGATTATCAACTAGCAAACAACTAGATAAGACCAATATTGTCTCTAAAGCCTCTGTATTTAAAAAAAAAAATAGATCCCCTCACTGCACAGTCTAGGGTGAGAGTCATGACTTCTTTGAAATATGTAAAACACTAGACTTAGAATAAAAGTCTGTAGTTCAATACAGAGTAACATATAAAACAGAATGCCACAGTGAGAAGAAAAATCATGAGAAGCAAGAACATGCCTTTTCTTACTTGAGACACTGATGTCAAAGTCCCACTACTTATGAGTTTTTATCTTACAGCTTTGTGACTCATCCAGCAGAGTTTATTGAAGGGGAATATGGTAGTTTCTCATAGTCAGTCAGGATCCAGTCAACGGCGCATCAAAATATAATGCAGTATATATAATAAGATACTTTGGGAAATCTTTAAAAATTCACTTGCCTAACTTTTATTATAACGCAGTGCTATAAGCATCCTATTTTATTAGTCATTATTGTTAATTTTGTGCTGTGACTAATTTATATCACTTTTATCATCAAAATGTACAAATAGGATAAAACAAAGCCGTGTGTCTGACACTTGTTACTGCCATGTTTCAGGTGCCCAGGACTGTGGATAGGACGACTGGTGTAGCATTACGTTTTAATCTCTTATTAATCGGTATTCATTTATTTGTTTAGCACTTATACCACATTATTCATTGATCACCCACTTCTTGCCACAGAGTATTGAACTAGGTTAATTCTATGGAGGAAATTGATAATACTGAAATCAAAACAGAAAAGCAAAACCCCAGAGAAGGTCTAGGGGTCACAAACTTACTTTTTGTTTTTCAAACGTTGGCTAAGATTGTCTCGGTTTAGTAAGCAGGAGCTGCCGATTATGTTCTTCCGGTCTCTATGCACCCAGCTTCCCTTAACAAAATTAATATTTAGAGAATTGAAATGGAAAAGTTGAGATCACAGTAGTTTCATCTGGAAGATAGACTTTTAGAAACTTGTAAAAAAAGGAAGGAGGATGGGAAGGGGCCGGTTTTGAGAGGAAGGTGAGCCTGTCGACAGACAGCTGGGAAGAACCAGAAGAAGGTGGCTCTTAAATACTTACCCCCCACTCTGGTGAAGCCTCTGATTTACTCACAGTCGCCACCCAGGAAATGACTGGTGTCCAGGAAAACACAAAGTCATCGCAGCTTTTCACGTTCATTTGTTCATGCCACCCTTACCTCATCCTCTGGCAACTGCATCCTGGCAGACCACAACCCTGACTAACTTCCTAACATGGAAGTGCGTCTTTTTCACCACCTGCCCGTCTAAGCCCTCTAGTGCTCCGTCATTAAGTGTGCAGTCCCCGGCTGCGGAGATCCTCGGTTAGTAAGGTGCTTGGCTTACAAGCGTGAAGACCCGAGTGTCCGCCCCGAACACACAAAACCCAGTTCGGCTGGTGAAGTGGAGAAAGGATAGCTTAGCATCTGCATTCTACAGCCTTGGTTCACTTTCCGGTACCCATACTGCGGGCCTCTGAAGGCGCCAGCTCGCACAGACACACACAGAGACATGCCTTTACACACAAAACAATAAAAGCTTTTTAAAAAGTTGTACATGTTGGCATGTGGCTATTATGTGTTTATAGTCCCAGCCTGAAAGTGGAGACAGAAGATCTTCACCCATCCCTATCACCACCCCATCTCAGCCCACAACCCCCAGGCTCTCTGGATATTCAGGCTAGTCTAATAAGCCAATGAAAAAAACGCCATCTCGGAAAGCAAAAGGAACTATGCCCAAGTTTGACTTCTGGCCTCTGCCTGCAAGGAAATTTCACTGCCCCTACCCAAACATCCACAGGAACATGCACATTCACATCAAAACCTACCCATAGATCCACTTGATATGGATACATTTGCAAATAATTAATTCATTTAAATTCTTTTTAAAAAGTTAGAGCACACAATTTTTTAAAGCTACTTTCCTAGGGCTAGGTTTGGTTTTGGTTTTGGTTTTTAATTTAAACATTAGGTTTAAAGAAGAATAAATTGCATGAGTGAGATTTAATTCATTCAATAAATTTAAAAATAAGATTGGGTAACTTTCAAATGTGTTATCTAGCGTCAATTGTTTTGTTTCCTATCTAATATGGAGTAAATATAAGACTGAGACGTTTTGCTGATGGTTCAATAACAACGAATAATAAAATGTGACTTACATTAACCACTAGGTGATTTTTTTTCCTTTATAGTCAATGGTTCTATTGCCATAAGTAAATGACATGGGGTCTTTTGAGAAACTCCTGGCAAGCTTACGTGCAACATTCTGACCTACTTTGAGTTATCCAGAAAATTCAGACATTTCCCTGAGACCTACCTATGGCCATCTACCAAGCTCGCTAGGAACTCTAAGAATCTCAATTTGTGACCATTGGTCATTTGATGGAAAATTTTTGCAACTTAAGAAATTTGGCCGGGCTGTGGTGGCTCACGCCTTTAATCCCAGCACTTGGGAGGCAGAGGCAGGCGGATTTCTGAGTTCGAGGCCAGCCTGGTCTACAGAGTGAGTTCCAGGACAGCCAGAACTACGAACTACACAGAGAAACCCTGTCTCGAAAAACCAAAAAAAAAAAAAAAAAGAAATTTGATATGATGATGATGACAAGTTAGAAACCATGTCAGTTAACTGTGGTTCACTTGCCTCGCAAAACACACCTCAGAGCCCTGCTTATGTCACACGTGCAGGATTGTTACCGGGAGAGATACTTAACTGAGTGTAGTGAAATAGCCAAGGATGAAATAAGCAGTTTGATGGATTCCATCCTCGTTACAATCAGTATTAATTGTCAGTTAAAATATATACGTCAATTCTCTGGATTAAGTATATACCCAGATTTTCTAATTCATGATTAAATTATATCCAAATAGATTAGCATCCATTGCCTAAGATAAAATAATTGTGTTATGATTTGTATTTTCTCAACAGATTGGATTCTTCAAAAGGCCACTAAAGAAGAAAATGGAGAAATGAAATATTTTATAGAAGGAAAAAAAACAATAACAACTATTCAACGATCTATCCTCAGGTTTGCCTCAATCATGTGAGAAGAAATTCAGAAATATAGCCAAAGACTTGGTCACATAACTCTATGTAATCCACGATCCATCTGGGCTTGCCTACTCGGAAAGATCAAGTGTGACCCCAAAAGGCCCAAGGATACAGTGTAGAAAGCAATGGGAAACATTTTTAATAATTACTCACTTTTGCTGAGTAAGTGAAACGACAAAATGTTTTAAAGAAGAATCGTCAGTATACGTACGTTTATGTGTTTACGTGCCACACAGAGAATCTTAAGGGATGCACAAATGAGCTTCGTGTTCAGTGAAGCAGTTACTCTCAGCACAGTATAAATAAAGCATTTCCCCTTGGTTACACTTTCAGAGTGACACTCAGCATTTGTAAATGACAACAAAGGAATGGGGTGAAAAAGCTCTCTAAATTCTAATGAGAAAAACTTTGCTTAGCAGAGCCCAAATACAATATGGACTGAAAACAGAATTAAATCATGGGTGACGCTCAGTGACTGCATGGGTTCCCTAGTTGGAAAGAGTATTTTCCAGTGTGTTTGGGAAATGGTGCAGTTGAGCTTAAATTCTACGTAGAAGAGACAGTAAGGATGGAGTTGTTATTTTAAAATGAGTGCACTGAATCTATTAACTTAAACTTTTACAGAAAGTAAAACTGCTTAATTTATATTGAGCTCTAAAACATAAAACTCTTTTATAATATATATGTAAAGTTGAAGCAGTTTATGTAGCATAACAGTGATAAGTCGTGAAAGACCACACCATGTGTGTGACACCCAGAGGGGTTCTGAAACGAAATGTGAGCATACATAGATGACCCAATGAAGCTGATGTCACCTTTGCTGAGTAGTTATTTAATGTCAGGGCTTCCAGGGTGTTTCATTAAGTAGGGGGCTTCTCAACTCTTTGGTATAGGGGGTCATGTAAAACCCCAAAATATGGGTGTTTATTTTTAAATCTTTTCAATTTTCTAAACACATGTTATTATTGAAAAACGCAATCTTCCAGGCTAATGTTATATTTTACCAAGAACACACTGCTTTTGAACATGGTATATCAGTATTTAAATAGAAAACCAGGTAATTTAAAGAATTTATATTTTGAAAGCATACACTAACAGAGACATACAACTTATTTGTATGTACCTCTGTATTCCTGAAGTAATCCCGAAGGCCCTTGGAACTCTGCTGTAACATACGCTTCCGGATCGCTCCATTTCCAAGATAAATAACAATGAATGAATGTACAGTATAATCATGTGTGAACTACTGCTGTAAAATGTGCTGATCCTCCTGCCCCAAAGCCACCTCTCCAGTTGACAGCTCACTATAAGATCCAGAAAGAGCTGGACTCCGCTCTCCTCAAAAGTCAGCAAGCCAACAGAGAAATTAAGTGCTATAGGTTTGATTTTTTTAAAAAAAATGTATTTCTGAGAAATTATCTTAGGGCCCAGACTCAGACAGCCTCTTGGATTTCCACCCTTACATGTCAGACCCTCAGGGCTAAGGGATGGATGATGCTACAGGCATCCCTGGCTGGAACAGAAGTGGACAGGAAGCCAGAAGAAAAATGAGTTCTCCATTCTCACTCTCTCTCTCCAGCTTTGGAAGTCACACTTTCCTCCTGTTCTTCTTTTCCCAACAGAACTCAGATGTTTCTTGCTCAGTTACCATGGTGCCCAACTCCATACATATGCACCCAGCAGCCCTACTCTTAGCTCCATGCCTTTAGGAATGAAATACATCAGATGTGTGTAGATTCATCTTTGTTTTAAGGGTAGCCTGTCCATAAGACATGTGCTCCTTTTGCTGTGAATGCCGACTTCACTGAACGGATCATTTGTTCAGGTTTTCTAACCCAGTTTCTCATGACACTCCAAAGGGCTGCCCATGGCATCGTGCAGTATAATGCACTTCTGAGATGCAGCATCCTTCCTTAAGAGGTTTCCATCCACTTGGGCCACTGTTCTCCGTAGTTCTGTGGAAGAAACAGGAGGGATTTAGGCCTTCGGCTACTGTTCTTATGTATTCTACAACCCCTATCCTCATCCAAGGGTGAGGTTTAAAAACTGAAAGAAGGCATTTTCCTCAAGCTGATGCTGCTTTTAAATTGTGAGATACAAATTAATTGCATATAAAAGACTTTGAATGCAGATACAACTTCAAAATGAATACCCTGAGCTCACAGGGTGGTACCACAACTTATGATTGGACAGTGGCCCCCACAGCTCTTTCTAACCAGAATCCAGAAACCACTACTGCCCATTCACTCTGTACTGAAAGGAAAGCCAGAGCCCATTGCAAAAGGCTTCATGGGAGGCTGAGTGTAGCCCAGTGGTGTAGCCCAGAGGCTGAGTCCACAGCGAACTCATGCAAGGCCCGAGGCTTGAACTGAAGCACCACATACAGTGAAAGGTGTCTGATCATGCCACCATTTCTCAAATGGAAGTACTCTGGTACAACACAACTGAAAAATACCTACATTTTCTTTGAAATCCTAGGAGAAAAAGCAATGGCATTAACTACCAGCACTGTCATCTTGTTTGCTAATGGGTGTCTTTCATCCTCTTATTAAAGCTGTACCTCAAATGTAGAAGTTCAGAGTAAGAGATTTAACCACAAACCTTGAGGAGGATACAGAGGAGCTTGTGAAGTCAGGCAGGTCTCAAGCCCTAGGGCCCTAACACATCTGGTCTGGGCAGTACGGGGCCCCTAACCTATGGAAATAGATCATCTAACATGACAAAGGGCCTGGGCTCAAATTCAGAGCCTCCACTGTCCCCCACAGCCAAAGCTCCGTTCCCTCGCCTCAGCCACACCGAAGAAGCTTTTCTTGGCGAAATTTTGCTGCACCAAAGATGTGCAAGGCTGAGGCTCAGTTATCACTATTGGTCTTGAGAGCAGCCCTGCTTGTTTACATTGTCTGTAGTTTGCATACTGCAACCCACGCTCCCACCCTGGCTCCATGTAATACGTTGGAGACTCCGAGACAAGACTTCCTTCTTTTCCTCGATGCACAGTCTGCAGGACTTGGGTGGTAGAAGATGACAAGAGCTAGAGTCTGTTTGGAGCCCTCCTTGTCATTCCTATTAGTCTTCTCTTTTCTTCCTCTGCCAGGAGATGCTCTGATCTGGGGCTTCCTCAGCAGGGTTGTCCCACGCCATATGCCCTTTACTAGCCTAATGGCTAGTGTCATGTTTTATTTCATGACCAAGGACTCAAAAATCCCTTACTTATGCCAGCATGGGAATCAGGACTACAAAGCAGTGGCCAAGGACACTCAGCACTGTGACTATGTTTGGCATTTGTGTTTTAAGGTACATACCTAAAGAAAGGAGTGTAGAGTTGAGAGGTTCTTAGACCACAGTGTGAGGCTGAATATCTGATCTTCCCTGTGTTTGACCTATGCCTATAAACTGAGAACAAAAATCTTAAAAGAAAACTTCCAAAAGCATCGTAGTGAAAACCCACTGTGTTCGTGAGTAACCCCCAGCAGGTCTGTCTGTCCCCACATCTGTATTCTAAGAGGCAGAGAGAGATGAAGTGAGAGAGGAGAGGAAAGGGGAGACATGAGTATTGTTCTTCCTTTTCTCCTAGGGAAGCCACTGCATGTAGATTCAATGTAACGTGATAACTTAAACTTTGATATAAAACAAAAGAAATGGGGGTAGATGAGGACATGAAACTACCAATCTGATTTCTAATCCACGAAAATGGCCAAAGCTTCCTGAGACTACACGTGTCCCACCCACAGCACTCCCAAATGTACTTGTCACTGTGAGAGTGAACGTTACTTATAAACTACCCTGGGCTAGGTGTCTGGCCTTAACACACCCCAGCCTTATATGAAAACCATTGAAACAGCAGTTTAGAGATTCTGCATTCTGGAGCTGGTCCACAAAGGAGATCCTGGTGGTTAGCCTTTCGATCTGAGAAGTCTGCTGTCCTCACTCAGGAAGCAGCAGGTTCCTGGCTGCAGGAGTGGGAAACACTGGCATGGAAGGATGGTCTGCTGTGTGTTACTACTGTGAAGCTGTCCTGATTTTTAATAGGCAGTGTGCACTCCATATCTGTTTTATTAAAAAGAAGTATATTGCATTTAGTTAACTACTGCCCTGAGCATCCATCCCACTTCTGGCACACAATTCCACATCGCCTAAATGAAGGTATCACATTGCTCATTTTGCTAACTTACCTCAAACTCATCAAAGGGACAATGTAAGGATATGTGCATAGACTTTGTAGGAAATGACTAGGTAAAAATGCTCCATTGACATTCAAGAACAAAGAGGCACAACCTTTCCCAATGAAATTCATAGGATTGGCTGCGAGGTGACAGGCATTTAAGATGTATAATTAGAATTAGCTGAGTGCGTGAGTATTTTTTTTTAAATGTGCTGTGTATGCCATATCCTGCACACTGTTCTGAGGTCAAAGATTTGATATTTTTGTATAATTCCATCTTGTACATCCGCTGTGTGATTTACGTCAAGGTAAATGAGCATCCTGTTTTATGTCTTAAATAAAAAAAAAATGACTCAAAGAAAAAAATGTGATTAAAGTTATTTTAAATACAGATTTTCTCCAAAATGCATGTGGCTTCTTCCAAAGTACCAACTATTTTTTTTTAAAGTTCTGTAGCAGCCTTTACTTTGGTTCACTTCAAGGAAGAAACAAAAAGCGAATTAAGCTTGTCTGTAGTGTTTCCTGTACAAGACACAATGCGATTGTCTTGCAAACTTGAGACAAAAGCCACAGAATCTATATGACTGCATGATTTCTCCTAATGGGATGTTTTAATAATAAGTCCTTTGCTGTATAAAAGGTTAGACCACTGAGAATATAGAACGAGTCACAGTGTTTCCAGCACAGTCTAAACATATAAACTTCTGTGACCTTGAAATGTAGGGATTCTGTCTCCACAGAGGCAAGCAGTTCTCGAGTAGACACCAATCACAACTTAGCATCTTCCTATTCAATGCAGGACCTCCCTTATCTACCTGCAGGTAATGGTAGGTCCATTCCCCCAAGACTGTCGCTGAATTAGATGCTAGTCACAACACCAGAGTTTTTAACCAGTGCTTCTAACCAAATAGTTTTGAGTTATGGTTCCCACAGTCTCCTCCTTACAATCAAGATGTTCACATTATATGAGAAGCATTCATATTCTCTCGCTTGCTATACAGGGTATTACAGATGACATAGATGAAGGCATACTGAGTGCAACGTATGGGAGAAGACGTACACAGCTTCCAAGCCTCTCTGGGCAGTTCACCCAGCAAGAGCCTCCATTTGTCTAGCTTTCTGGACTCTGTCCTTTGGGAAATTACAGGAACTTCTCTGCAAAGCACGATTACTAATTGGGTAGATTGGGAAACACAAAAAGGTTGTCCAGATATTTTAGCATTCCTTTTTCCTCATTATGAAGTATGATGTCTCTAGAGAGAGGACGCATAGAAATAATTTCTAGAGATATGTTTCAATTGTTTAAGAATAAGCACATGTTTTTAACTTTTAACTTTTGGCCTCTGACATACGTGGGGTGCATGCATACATGTGTGTGTGTGTGTGTGTGTGTGTGTGTGTGTGTGTGTTTCTGGGTATGTAAGTATGTCCATGCACAACATACATGGGTGAGAAACCAGATGTCAACTTCAAATGTCTTCTAAAACTCTATGTTTTTTTGTGACACAGAGTCTTTGTGGATCTAGAGTTCACCAATTTGTCAAGACTAAGTGGCCAGGTAGCTCCAAGACTTTACTTGTTTCTACCTCCACAACTCTAGGCTAACAGGCTCAAGTCCTCTGTTACTAGATCTATATGTGGCTACTGTGGATAAAAACTCAGTTTCTTGTGTTTACACAGAGAACTTTACTGACTAGGCACTCTCCCTAGCAATCATTTAGGGTAGAAAATTTAAAACACATAAATAATTTATAAACAACCTACATGGAAGTATCAGACTTACATACTTCAAGTCTATATTGTAAAGGTTTAAATATTATATTTAACCTTTCTTTAGTATAAATAAATAGTAATAAAATACTTTCCTTAAATACAGAAATGGCAATAATGTCACCTCCGTGCTTTCTGTGTGTGTGTCAATAACTACTTTACACATATATACCTACTCTTCTAGATTTCCCCATAACCACATCTTGAATACTTATTTATTTACCTACTTCTTCAAGAAGTGGAGTAAAGAAGAGAGCAAACAATGCAAGACAGAAGATAACCTCACTCAGAGTCTAGCAAACACCATTCCACTTATGCAAAATCAACTGTTGTTATATTGGCAGTCATAATGAAAGAATTTTTGCCATAAAAAAAAAAGATTAGAACCATTGTGCTGGAAGCAACAAGAAGAAGGCAATGACAGAAACAAAGAAGAAATGAGACGGAAGACATGTAGAGAACAGCCAGTCACATGGCATATGTGCTTCTGACCATATTAATAATTATAAAATGATGAGTGATTCCAAACACCCAATATAAAAAGGTAGATATTTTCAGGCTGTTTAAAACAAAAGAGGGAGCTCCGTAGTACACTTTCTAAAGGAGCTGGAGTTCAGATGAAAAGTAATTTGACTTGAGATGGTGGATGGATGAAGCATCAGATGTACAAACTTTAAGAGAACTGGTATGGCTCTATTGACAGCAAACAGGGTAAACTTTAAATGAGACTTGGTAAACCATCATCTCATTAAGATCTTAGATACTTGCTTGTATGGACATTAATGTCTTACTGGTCCCATTAATACTTGGAAATAAAACTTTGATTAGAGCAGAGTCAATGAGACTAACCAATTCTGGACCATGATGTATAGAAAGAGCCAGAACCTTCATAACTATGAAGGCAAATTGTAGGCTAAAGGTTTTGTGGCTGGGTTTCATGTCCCAGTCCCTCCATTGGAAGGCTTACTTGGCTTCAGGAGATGGCTGGTTCAGGCCTTATGTCCCCCATTGCTAGGCGTCTTAGCTAGGGTCACCTTTATAGATTCCTGGGAGTTTCCATTGCCCTAGGTTTCTAGCTTGTCCCACAGATGCCCTTCCCCCACCTGATTTCAGTTCTCTCTCCCTCTGTCCTCCCCAGACGTCTCTCTCCTGTTCTCATCATCACCCCACCCCTCTCCATTCTCCTCCCCAATCCACCTGATACTTATTCAAGTTCCCCTTCTCAGTGCCATTTATGAGTCCCCACCCCCCTTGAGCCCTCCTTGTTACTTAGCTTCTTTGGGTTTGTGGTTTGTAAGCATGGTTATTCTGCACATTATGGCTACTATCCACTTATAAGTGAGAACATACCGTGTTTGTCTCTCTGGGTCTGGGTTACCTCAGGATGACCTTTTCTAGTTACATCCGTTTGCCTGCAAACTTCATGATGTCATCATTTTTAACAGCTGAGTAATACTCCATTGTGCAAATGTACCACATTGTCTTTATTCATTCTTTGGCTTAGGAATATCTAGGTTGAGATAAAGATGGAGTAGAAACTGAGGGTGCGACCAAGCAATGACAGGTCTAGCTTGAGACCCATGTCATGAAAGGGAGCCCACCTTTGATACAGCTAATGCTATTCTATCCTTGCAGACGGGAGCCTTAGCATAATTGTCATCAAAGAGGAGTAACCCAGCAGCTGATGAAAACAGATGCAGACCCAGAGCCAAACATTAGGCAAAGACAGGAGGAAGAGTGGGAGCCAGAGGGGTCAAGGACACTACAAGAAAACCCACAGAATCAACTAACCTTAGTCCATAGGGACTCATGGAGACCAGAGATCCAGATTGGGACTGACCTAGGGCTTCTATGTATAGTACAGATGTGTAGCTTGGTCTTCATGTGGGATCAGAGACTGGCTCTGACACTATTGCTGCCCTTGAGACCTTTTCCTCATACCTCAGTACTCTTACTGCAACTTGAAAAACCAGGGCTGGTTGCTATCCATGGGAGAGCTCCCCTTTTCTGAGGAAAAACAGAGGACTGGATTGGGGGAAGGAACGACTGTGAGGAGAGGAAAAAGGAGAAACTGCAGTCTAGATGGAAAAGTAATTGATTAATTTTTTTTTAACAGGGCTAGTGTTTGGCTGAAAAGCACTGGCTTGAATTTATGAGGTAAAGTTTTTAATCTCATGTTTGCGTTTTGATCTGCTACCTTCTCTTCTATGTGGTAGTATCATTCAACCAGGTATGTATGAAACAAAATAATTCCCATAGCATAGCCTAGAATCACATTCTGAACGGAAGTGCCTCGACCTCATAGATAAGGAAGAGCACCTGAGTTGACCATTATACTGTTAAAAGTAGAGCCAAGGTTGCCATGACAGGGGCTTCAACCATCTTAGGCAAAAATCGCAGGGCTCATTAGTTATGCTTACTGAGTCTCTCTTACTTGTGTGGGTGTGTTTTACTTTGAAGCTGATGGAAGGATGCATTGCAGCCCTGCCTCATCCTCACCCCACCTTATGTGCAGTGGTGACAGCAGGAGCCGATAGATACCTTACAGGTTGAATGGAACAGGAAGTGAGAAGAAAAGGCAATGTCTCACTGCACGGAGTCCTCTTGCCTCTGTACAATAACCTGTGCCACTCTGGTGCTCTCTGTCTCTCTGAAGCTGGCGTTATCAAAAATGAGACCGAGCGCCAGATCTGTCCCAGGAAATATTGATTGACTTGCCTTTGATGGTACTGTCGGGGAAGCATCCTTGAACAGAAATGATGCAGGAAGGAGGTGTGGCCTCAGACCTCTAGAGGTTACTTACTCTCGGAGCAGGCATTTGTTTTATGTTTCAATATTGTTTCCACTGATGATAAAAAGGAACATTCATTCTCTTTTATCAGTTTCTACTCAAGGCAGGAAAATATGCTTAGATAGATTGAAAATGCCTTTTAAGTAAGTGATTAAATATGAAGAATGAGTCTCTTTCCCTTCCTAGACACTGTGGCATTAAAATATTGGCGTTTCCTTCCTTAAACTGACTCCTCAAGTCCCACCACAGCTCCTTACCCTGATGGCTTTCCTGAAACCCAGACTTATCTTCTTTTTCTGTAGATTTGTATTTTCCCCTTAAATTGAATTTCTCAAATTTGGAACCTGGGGTTGCATACCAAAATGTATTCTTTTCAATTCCAAAGTTCTACGGGTTTAGAAAATGTGTATCCGTGTGACACAGTCTATCACCTTTGAAAGCTAGCAGTTTCTCCCTCCTCTCCAGCCTGCTCAGTTCATGTGAGTTCTGTGTCTTCAGCTTTGCCCCTTAAAATAAGCCATGCTAATGAGTTCATGAGGTTTGCAATTTTTGAGTGTCTGCCATTTACATGAAACATAATGAATTTGCAATTCATCCTGTGCCTATATTTTTCAATTTCTTATTCACTTTTGTTGCTAAGTAGTATTTCATTTCATAGATATATTTTGTTTATTTTCCTATCTTCGATACTTGTGTGTATAATGGATGAAAAGAGACTTGTTACAGATTTGAAAAATTGTGGACTTTTCAAGTTATATTTTCTGTAAAATGACATGGTCCTAGAGAGAGTTGA